CCGTTCCGCGTGGGGCTGTACACGGGCGAGATCAGCACGACGCGCGCCCTGGACGAGGCGGACGCACCGCGGCAGCGCCTGCTGGTGCTGGTGAAGGACCATGGCGAGCCGGCGCTGGTGGCCACAGCCACTGTGCTGCTGTCGCTGGTGGACAGCGGCCAGGCGCCTAAGGCCTCTTCGCGAGCTTCTTTGGGTGCCCAGGGCTCAGGGACGGCGCTGGTGGACGTGAACGTGTACCTGATCATCGCCATCTGCGCGGTGTCCAGCCTGTTGGTGCTCACACTGTTGCTCTACACAGCGCTGCGGTGCTCCGCGCCGCCCACCAAGGGCTGGTGCGGACCAGGGAAGCCCAAGCTAGTGTGCTCCAGCGCGGTGGGGAGCTGGTCATTTTCGCAGCAGAAGCCGCAGAGGGTGTGCTCTGGGGAGGGGCCGCCCAAGACGGACCTCATGGCCTTCAGCCCCAGTATACCTCCTGGTTCTAGAGATAACGGAGAACAACAGGAGATTTGCGGGAATGTAAGTACAGTAGTTCTGGGATGTATTTCATGGCTATTAATGTCAACCACATAGTTCACCAATATTTAATGTAATGTTTATTGCTTAATTTATTTGTTTTGTCCTTTCTCTTGCGATGGCTTATTTTAAAGCAAACCGGAAGTCCAGCCATTTTTATTACTTTGCACTACAGTCTTCATGAGCACACCTCCACTCAGTAATAACAAAAATGAAATTGGTGGCTAAAACTTCCTGTGAATGCATAAGTTTCAGTCTGGAAAGAGGCAAGGTTCACTGATGAGAAATGAAAGGCATGGGCAAGGCTCTAATCTTCTACTTCTCAATTTTGCAGCAAGTTCATTCTTCCTACCCATTTTTAAAAAATTCTAAGTGGTGGCCTCCACTTATTATGTTTATGCATTGCCATAATAATGCATAACTTTATAATTTAGTTAATTTGAGTTCAAACATGTTTAAATTCTTACCTTCCTATAATCCCTAAATTCATCTATTACTAATGGGCATGGGCTGGTGAGGTGGCCTCATTTTATAAAGCATTTTGTTTCTTTAAAAAAAATCTCTATTGTTGAAAGTATTACGTATGTCCCTTTTTTTCTCCCAATGACCCCTTATAGCCCACCCCTGCCCACTGCCCCAGGCCTCCACCACCGACTGTGTCAATGGGTTATGCATATATGCATACAAGTTCTTTGGTTGATCTCACCAACCCACCCTCCCACACCTTCCCTCTGAGACTTCACAGTCTGTGCCATGCTTCTATGTCTCTGGATCTATTTTTATTCAACAGTTTATTTTGTTCATTAGATTCCACATATGAGTGAGATCATGTGAAACTTGTCTTTCTCTGACTGGCTTATTTTGCTTAGCATAATACTCTCCCAGTCCCTCCATGGTGTCTCGAATGGTAAAAGATCCTTCTTTCCATTTTTTTTCTTTATAATCAATGGTGTGCTTCTTTGAAATAGTGGGTGGAGTTTCTCCTTGACTTTGGGCATGATTTTACTTCTCTGTCTTTAATCCCCCTATAATTTCAAGCTCATTTTCTTCTTAGTCTTCAGCTGCTTTAGACATTTTCCCTTTATTTCCTAATATAAGACCAGTTTGCTAATTGCCTGTTGAACCCATTGCTGTTCTCCTCCTGATTAATTCATTAAGCTCCTCTATTGTATTTGGAAGATTTTTTGAGCATTTATTATACTTTCTTCCATTCATGGCACCTGCCATGAAATTGTGTGGAAGTATTTTAGGGTAGGAAAAGTCATACCTCTTTATGCTTTGAGACTGAGAGTCTTCCCATGCATGGGGGATTGTGGATTCTGCTGCCTGTGTTCCCCAAGCCACTTGGTCCTCAAAATAACAGGTCTTTAAATAACTTAAGCATAACAATTGTGGAATTTCCACTTGACATGTCCACTTAGCACTAGTACTTGACATTGGTGTTGTTGATGGCATTTCAGAATTTAACATTGTATACTTTAGATACATTTGATGGAAACACTTTTTTGGTCACTAAGCTATATTCATGGGAATTTAAGAACTTTTATTTTGAGCTGTAAGGTTGTGAATCAAATAATGTGGAAGGGTTTTTTGTGTTTGTTTTTGACTCCTGAATACAAATTAGAGACACTTTAATTGGATTGTTGGAAATAAATTGTTTATGCTAATGACATGTGGGAGGAGACCATGTTATAATAGGGTGAAGTTAATAGAAATGGCTGAGAAGGCATCAGTGGTCATTTTCTGCCTAAAAAGTAGGATGATTTCAGAAAAGGAAAAACCATGCCCTAGTTACTGTACTGGGATTGTCTTTATCCTTAGCTATAGAATAGAATAAGAGCAAACATTGGTCACTGACTATAATAAACCACCACGATGTGAGCTATTTCATTTGTTAGACATGATATGAATGTGAAGGGCTTAAAATGCACAATTTCATTTATTTCCTATAACAGCATGTAAATTACATGTGACTATCTGAATTTTAAAGATGATATAATAAATGGTGAGATATCTATCTTGTCCACTGCCATCCAGCTAGTACATGATAAAGATGATATTCAAATGCATATCTATTAAGGTCTTTCAGGTTTCATTCTTCTTCAGTCTTATTGTTGTCTGAGAGATTTGTGCCAACTGAACAAATAATCTGTGATCAAAGAACTGTATATACTTGAATAAGCCATGATAGGCAGAGTGAACATCACTGAGTATATCCTATAATTTTGTTAATACAATTTTGAATAGTACTTCTAACCTATTGATTTTCAAGAACCTCCTGGGTTTCTAAGAATTACTTCAAGATTTATTTATCTATGTTTTCAATAAGCAATAATACTATACTTATTATAAAATATTAGTGGATGATGAGGACTAGTAAAATGTTAAACCATGCACTCTAATACATGACTAGCAGGGCATTCAGTTGGAATTTAAGACTAACCAGATTGGTTTAGTAAGGGTCAGACACAAAGTTCCTCAGTCTTTTCAATGATTTTACAAAATCAGTTTATCAATGATATTGATGTGACTTCTTGGCATTAGTCTATTGCCAGATCCCAGGCCAATCCCCAAAGGTGAGTTCAACAGTAGCATAATCTCTTCTAAAGGGGCTAGTTGAGATGGTGATAACTGAAATATCACAGCCAAAATGCAAAAGATGAGTCATTGGTTCATACAATATCAAAAATTCTTTTATGATTTGGTGTTTGTCCAGTTTCACTTCATACACTCACAAAATACCACATTACTGAAAAGTAATTATTTTTTTCAAGCACAAGAAATCTTTTATTAGATTACTTAATATATATAAATTCTTTTACAAAGTCATGCAAAAGACTTTCGAGTATCTTGTGGTTTTAGATTTCACACCAAGGAAGGTTGAGGACTACAGTAACATTACACGAAGAAAACATCAGGGAGGCAGATGCTAAGAGAGTCTGAATTTGTACCTTCATTTGGGAAACAAAGAGAAAATATAGGTCTGAGAGCTCCTTTGAGAAATTATAAATGAGGAGACTCCTTGTCACATCATAGAATGATATCTGTCCATACTTATATTCTAGGAAAATTCCAACTTGGTGAATCTACTAGTAATTCTTAAATTCTCATTTTAATTCAGACATGTAATATCTTCATCACCCTTGGGTAAACTTTCTCCATATCTCTATCTATTTTTGAAGACTCTACTTCTCAATTCCAATTTCCATAATGAAGTGGTTGAATATCTTTGCTTCCTTTTTCTCCAAAATAAATCTGACAGGCTTCAAATATCATGTTAAATCTACTGTTATCTAGTGTAATGTTATATTTTGATTAGAGACCAATATGACTCTTTTACAGATGTATAACATAATTCAGTGTCATAAAAGATGGAGAATTTGCTTTATTAGTTTTTAAAGAAAGAATTTGCATTTACTTTATAAGAGTTCTAGCAGAATGATAATATCAGGAAAAGAGTAAATTTGAAAAAAGTGAAACAAGATCTGAAATTGGAAATTTCAGAATAATACAGGGTGGGGCAAAAGTAGGTTTACAGTTGTTAAGTGTGCAAAACACAGAGTTTATTCTTGTATTATTTATTAATTATTGTATTATTTTTATATAAACAACTATAAACCTACTTTTGCCTCACCCTGTGCATATACACATGTGTGTATATTCAAGGAAAAGAAAAATATTAACACATAATAAATATGCTAGTGATTTCTTCATATGTCATTGCAATATTTTTAGATTGGAGATGAACCATCAAAACTATACAACAAAATACTTAAGCTAGCTACAGTGTATATATTCTGAATCACTTTCTACACTTCTGCATCCATTGCAGAAGTTATTTGCCATTTGGTTAGATTGTTTATTTTTTAGTGCATTTTTAGGCACATAAAGGAGATACAGTTAGATGTCATTTATTTTGTTTTGGATAAAATTATGATCTTAAACCCAAAATTCTTTTAACAAGACGCAGGTCAGCTGTTTTCATGAATATATCTTAACTAGATATACAAAAACCAATATAGATAACGTAGAAATACCAATATGCTATAGACATTTTCATGGTGGTTTTTATTTATTTCATTGAATGATAATGAAATTCATCATTGAAAAGATGACTTCTGTCATATCATTGACACTAATTGTGTCACTATTGTCATACTTCATGTTATACTGTGAGCATTGCAACTTACATGATCATATAAAATTTACATGAAATATAAATTTAATTTACATCAATAAATGTCTCCCTTGTGAATTTTATGTTTTAAACTGCCAAATTTGGAAAAATATTTTTGTTTTTCTTGTTCTTCAATAGATATAAAGGTGTTTACAATAAGTTCACAATTAAATGTAATACTGTCAACAATAAAATAAAATAAAACTTATAGAAGATCACAAATGTATCAGAGCTAAGGAAAATATAAGTAGAAGGCAAGTGCACATAGGTGGGAACACAATATGCAGGATTTAAGAATGAATAGTTTTTATTAAAACTTTAATTTTGTCCTTGAGTTTCCTAGCAGTCAAAGTAACAAGGGAGACTAGAAGTAAAACAATTCAAATTTGATAATATTTGTATGAGGAACAATACCCATAGGAAGTGTTTAACCATAGTTTTATAAAGTTATTCTTAGAATTGATCTCCCAGTATATATGTAGATGAGTAAAAGAATAATTTTATAACTTTAAATCAAACATAGGAACAAGAATTTAAATTTGATGTTAGTCAATACTAAAATGCCATTTCCCACCGACCATCAATTTTAATATGGCTTAAAATCTGAATATTCCATAAATAAGTACTTTGAAAATAATACCTTGGGGTTAAAATATCAGGAAACATGAGAAATTAATTATTTTTTTCTTTAGGTAAAATTCTGTGATATTGGGTGTAGTGCACAATACTCACAATTTCAGGCACAAGGTGTCGCTCTTTACTTGATGAAAATAGTTCTTTCAAGGGTTGGTCTGACCATCCAGGAACTCCCCATATAAAACGACTCCATCAAGCCGGTCGCTACTGTTAACGGATCCTATGAAGCTTCTAAAAAATTCAGCGAGATTTTAAACCCGAAACTGGAGTCTCTGGTACAGTAAGTGTAAAGAATCCTTTTTTGCAAGTTAATGTCGTGTGCAATGTTTGGGGTTCAAAGAGGGGGATTGGACACTCAGCAACTGCTGCTGTCGCTTCTGCTATTCGCGCTCTGGAAGGCTGGGAGCGGCCAGGTCCACTACTCGGTCCCCGAGGAGGCCAAGCACGGCACCTTCGTGGGCCGCATCGCGCAGGACCTGGGGCTGGAGCTGGCGGAGCTGGTGCCGCGCCTGTTCCGGGTGGCGTCCAAAGGCCGCGGGGACCTTCTGGAGGTAAATCTGCAGAATGGCATTTTGTTTGTGAATTCTCGGATCGACCGCGAGGAGCTGTGCGGGCGGAGCGCGGAGTGCAGCATCCACCTGGAGGTGGTGGTGGAGAGGCCGCTGCAGGTTTTCCATGTGGAGGTGGAGGTGAAGGACATTAACGACAACCCGCCGGTGTTCTCTCTCAGAGAACAAAAGCTGCTGATTTCGGAATCGAAGCCACCTGACTCTCATTTTCCTCTAGAGGGCGCCTCTGATGCGGATATAGGAGAGAATGCTCTATTGACTTACAGACTAAGTCAAAATGAATATTTTTCTTTAGAATTACCAAGAAATAGTAAGCAGACTAATAGACTATCACTTACATTAAAGAAGTCTCTGGATAGGGAGAAAACTCCGGAAATTAGTTTGCTACTGACGGCTGCAGACCAGGGAAAGCCGGAGCTAACTGGCACGGTTCAGCTTTTCATCTGCATCTTGGATATTAACGACAATGATCCAGAATTTGAGCAACCAGAATACAAGGTGAGATTAATGGAAAACGCAGCTAAAGAAACGTTTGTGATAAAATTGAACGCTACAGATATAGATGAAGGAGTCAATGGGGAGGTAACATACTCCTTGTTGTCCGTTAAGCCCAATGGAAAACCCTTATTCACAATAGGTAAAAATAGTGGAGAGGTGAGGGTCAATGGAACTTTAGATTATGAAAAAAACAAATTTTATGAAATTGAAGTACAGGCCACAGATAAGGGAAATCCTCCAATGGCAGGTCACTGTACAGTCTGGGTAGAAATCTTAGATGCCAATGATAATGCGCCTGAAATCACTGTGACTTCCCTGTCTCTCCCAGTACCAGAGGCCACTCAGCCTAGTACCGTCATTGCGTTAATTAGTGTATCCGACCGCGATTCTGGTGCGAACGGACAGGTGATCTGCTCTCTAACGCCCGAAGTTCCCTTCAAGATTATGTCCACGTTCAAGAACTACTACTCACTAGTGCTGGACAGCGCCCTGGACCGCGAGAAGGTGTCACACTACGAGTTGGTGGTGACAGCGCGGGATGGGGGCTCACCTTCGCTGTCGGCCACCGCAAGCGTGTCCGTGGAGGTGGCCGACGTGAACGACAACGCGCCGCTGTTCGCGCAGCCCGAGTACACGGTGTTCGTGAAGGAGAACAACCCGCCCGGCTGCCACATCTTCACGGTGTCGGCGCGGGACTTGGACGCGCAGGAGAACGCGCTGGTGTCCTACTCGCTGGTGGAGCGGCGGGTGGGCGAGCGCGCGCTGTCGAGCTACGTGTCGGTGCACGCGGAGAGCGGCAAGGTGTACGCGCTGCAGCCTCTGGACCACGAGGAGCTGGAGCTGCTGCAGTTCCAGGTGAGCGCGCGCGACGCGGGCGTGCCTCCTCTGGGCAGCAACGTGACGCTGCAGGTGTTCGTGCTGGACGAGAACGACAATGCGCCTGCGCTGCTGCCTCTGCCTCC